TGGAGAGGAGGGCAGGGGGGGTGAGATGCGGGGAGTGGATTGGGAGGAGATAGGAGCGGCGTTGATTGAGGAGGAGGAGGTGGTGCTGCGCGCCAATGCTGCACTCAAAGAGGCTCAGGTGGGTGGGATTACTTGTGAGGCGCCTCAAAAGAGGCTCAGGTTAGATGCTCCCTCCATTTCATGCGTCTTCATCAGCCCTGGTTTGTTTTGTGTGGCTTCTTTACTTTTTTTTTGTGCGTCCGCTGTCTCTACCTTGCTTTGTTTCCTTCATGCATGGCGCTCATAAGCCTGCACTCTACTGCACTCTACTGCAAACCCACTCCTCTTGTTTATCTCAAACTCCCTGCTTTCCTCCCCGCCTCCTCTCCTCTCGTCTCGTTCCCTATCCCTGTCCCCAATCCCCTCTTTCCTTCCGCCATCTCCAAATCACCACCTTGTGCCCTCCCATGTGTCTGGGGACCTGCGAGCCACGAGGAGTGCTCTGCGGGATCTATTAAATGCTATGGCAGTCCATTTTTGAGGCGCCTCAAAATGGACTCTTTGCTTCCACCATCCCCCTCGCCCCACCGTGTTCCCTGCCATTCGTTTGGGGTTTTGCAGGCCATGAGGAATGCGTTGGAATATCTGATGATGCTAGATGATACTAGAGCAGTCTTTCTTCCTTCAAGGCGCTGCAAAAATATACTCTTTGCTTTCACCTCACCTCCCCTCTCGCCCTACTGCGTTTTCTCTCAGGCGTCTGGGGATCTGCAGGCTATGAGGAATGCGTTGGAAGATCCGATGAATGCCAGGGCAGGGGCAGCGGTGCGGCACTGTTTGGCACGTGCGGTGAAGAAGAAGGAGCAGAGGGCACGGGGAAAGAAGGGCACGCCGCAGGCTGGTTCTACTGCTGGTGCTGCTGCTGGTTCAGATGGTGTTGGTAGTGGTGGTGCTGGCGGAGGGGTGGGTGATGGATCGGGGCAGACGGGAGGAGGAGAAGAGAGGACGGAAGAGGGGGAGGAGGACGGTGACAATAGCGGCCAGAATGAGGGAGCAACGCAAGGGAGGGAAGCAGTTCTTGATCGTGGGGAGGAGAAGGCAGGGGTGAGTGCGCTGGCAGAAGGGGGATCCAGTGACGTGCGTGAGGAGAAGAAGAACGAGAGGTTTAAGGGCAGTAGGGAAGGCGAGGGGCAGCGAGGAGACGGAGCAGGGGAGGATGAGCCAGGCGATGTGAGCAAGCATGGGAGCAAGAGCAAGGGCAAGGGCACGGGCAAGGGCAAGGGCAAGGGCAAGGGCACGGGCAAGGGCACGGGCAGTAGTAATAGTAGCACAGGTCGTGCTGCAGTGGCGCTAGAGGAGGAGGAGGAGGAGGAGGAGGAGGAGGAGGAAAGCACAGAGGGGACGAGTGGGACACAGGACGGGGGTAAGCAGAGCGACGCAAAGAAGAAGAGGAAGAAGAAGAAGAACAAGAGCGGTGGTGCTGCTGTGACCGGAACAGGGTCAACCGGATCAGCAGCAGCAGCAGCAGCAGCAGCAGCAGCAGCGTTGCACGAGCCCTCTGGGTCTGCTGCTCAAGAAGACCCACCAGCTACAACTCCTCCTGCTCTTACCTCTCTGCGAAGCCCTAGAGGCATCACTTCTTCCTCCTCCTCTCCACCCGCCCCTGCCTCTCCTCTCCCCTCTGTCCCTGAAACCCTCTCTCCGCCCGATCGTAATCTCCCATCTTCGCGTGCTCCTGCTGCTGCCCGCCCTGACCGGTCCCTTCCCACTTCCTCCTCCTCCTCGCCCGCTCTCTCGCCCCCTCCTCCCACTGGATCTGGAGCCGCAGCTGCTGCCAGCAGCTCTGACCACAGTAGCGGTAGCAGCAGTAGCAGTGGCAGTGGCGGAGGGGGCAGCAGCAGCAGCAGCAGCAGTAGTAGCAGAAGTAGTAGCAACAGTGGCGGCGGCAGTGGTTCTGTAGGCGCAGGGGGAGGGGGAGGGGGAGGGGGAGGGGGAGGGGGAGGGGGAGGCGCAGGGGGGCCGTCATGGAGTGATCGGGTGGCTGCTGGGCTGGCCAGGTCAAAGGATGCTGCTGCTGCTGCTGCTGCTGCTGCTGCAACTAACGCAGGCACTGCAGGAGGAAAGGGGAGTGGCGGCAGCAAACAGGGCGCTATGGTAATGGCAATGGCAGCAGCAGGCAGTGGTCGAAACGGGCAGGTTTCTATCCATGCTTCCCACCCCCACCATCATGGGCACACGCAGCATCATCACCACCACCACCATCACCACCACCACCAGCAGCATCAGCATCAGCAGCAGCTGCAGTTTGGCTCTGCTAACACAGCTCCAGCTTGGGGTATGGGTGGAGGAGAAGGAGGAGGAAATGGAATTCTATCAAGTCGCGCTGCCATGGCATCCCATGCCACAGCTACTTCTTCTGCTTCTGTTGCCGCTGCTGCTGCTGCTGCTGTTGCTGCTGCTGGCGCTGCCACTGCTCCTGGCCGAGCATGGGTAGGCAAGTCAGCTGCTGCAATCGCTGCAGGCCGAGGGGGTGCGGGAGGAGGATCCGCCACAGGAGCGATGGGGCTTCGATCGGCTGCTTCAGGTGCTGCTTCTTCTGCTGGGGTGGTGGGGGGTGGGTTCTGGTCAGTGGCTGACGCGGGAGGTGGAGGTGGGGGGGGGTGGCAGGAGGAGGAGGACGATGAGGAGCTGTGTGTGATCTGCTTGGAGAGGGAGCGAACGACAGCGTATGAGCCGTGCGGCCATGCGGCATTCTGCCTGGATTGTGCGCAGGCTAATCTGGAGGTGCATGGTGACTGCCCCATCTGCCGCACGCCCCTGCAAGGCATTTCCTCTGACTCTGGCAGATGAGGGGGGGAAGGGGAGTGGGGAGGGGAGTGTCGATGGAAGTGGGGAGAGGAGCGTGGAGTCGGGAGGCAGGGGAGTGAGGTTAGTTATAGTTGTTTGTGTGGAGAGGAGTTGGGGGAGGTTGTAGGAGAGGTTCCTGGAATGAAGGTGAAGGCTCAGTAATTTGCCAAGGTTTGTTTCTTGGTACCGTATGAGTGAGGTGATTGCAGATGCAGTGGGTTTGGTTGGTATCGGATGTGTGGGGAATTTACGGTAGCTGGAACATTTCATTATAAATGGTTGTGATGGTAGGGTTATGCAGGGAACATTGTCCATGAGTTTGAAGAGTGTTTGGCTACTGGAAGTAGGAAGTGTGATCACAGCAAGTGCAGAAACTGGACAAAGAATAGCCTCTTTATTTCTAGCATTTGGTGGACACTCTGCTGTGGCACAGGAACATTGTTGATATACGGTATTATCCCGCAACTGAATATGGTCCACTACTGCCACAAATCTAGTGCTACGGTAAATGTTCAATCAATCCAATCACCCCTACTCCTGCACTACCTTCTCCTTGCCTTGCTTTCACCTCTTGTGCAGCCATGGCTTACCCTAGTACACCAACCAACGATTTAAAGCCAGCAGGCAAAATAGTGACCCCCCCCCTTCTAGTTGGGTGCACTTGAAGATGAAGTATTTTTGTTTTGTTTTGGAAAGTTGGAAGTGCTGTGTGTGTGCTTTTTTTTCCGACCTTCGGACGAGTTTCTTATTGGACCAGGAACGATAGTTCATGGTCAATTCTGATTGGCAGCCAGGTTCTCTCACATGTACATGTGCGAATTTGGCGCGAAGTTGAGCGACGAGCACTCCTGCATTCACTACAGCCATTACTTCACCAAATTCACAACTAGCAGACACACATGTACGTGATGAGAGTGAAAGTGTTTGAACGTTATTAGAGCTAGTAGAGCTCTGATCAATGTGCTGCCTTGGACTTGAAGCCTGGGAGAGGTGCAATAACGGGGAACAGAAGAGAAAAACAGCACTAGGGGGGAAATTATGATGGGCAAGGTGATGCGAATGAAGAGAAAGAGGGAGGGCGACGGGAAACGGGAGGGCGACGGGAAGGGAGGGCGTAGGAAACGGGAGGGCGACGGAAGAAGGGAGGGCGACGGGAAACAAGAGGGGGGCGGGAAACGGGAGGGCGACGAGAGAAAAGATAGGCGACGGGAGAGAGGATAGGCAGCGGGAGAGAGGGTGACGAGAATAGATGGAAAGACGGAAAAAAAACATAAATTAAAAAACAAACAAAACACAATAACAGAGTACGGAATGGGTCACGCTGACGCGATAGCAGAGGGAGAACGAGAGAGGCGTCAGAGAAAGGAGGGCATACGTGATGGGAGAGTCGAAGGTTGCCGGGAGGGCTATTCGAGGCGAGCGAGAAGGGAGGACGTGAAGGGAGCAGAAAGAGAGAGGGCAATGGGAAGGGAGCGGAGAGAGAGAGCGCGACGGGAAGGGAGCGGAGAGAGAGCGCGATTCGAAGGGAGGAGCGAGAGAGAGGGCGGAGCGGAGAGAGAGAGCGCGATGGGAAGGGAGGGGCGAGAGAGAGGGCGACGGGAAGGGTGCAGAGAGAGAGAGCGCGACGGTAAGGGAGGGGCGAGAGAGAGGGCGACGGGAAGGGAGCGGAGAGAGAGAGCGCGACGGGAAGGGAGGGGCGAGAGAGAGGGCGACGGGAAGGGAGCAGAGAGAGAGAACGCAACGGGAAGGGAGGGGCGACAGAGAGGGCGACGGGAAGGGAGCAGAGAGAGAGAACGCGACGGGAAGGGAGGGGCGAGAGAGAGGGCGACGGGAAGGGAGCGGAGAGCGACGGGAGGGCGATCAGTAGGGAGGGGCGAGAGAGAGGCCGGCGGGAGGAGAGGAGGGGAGAGAGGGCGACGAAGAGGGCGACGGGACGGGCGGCGAGATGGCGACGTGACGCGCGACGGAATGGGAGACGGGAGGGCGATTTGGCGAACTCGAGGATAGCGTAGTGGGCGATGAGAGGGGTGAGAGGAATGGCGACGGGAATGGAGTTCTCTGTGATCGCGAGGAAAATATCACTACGCATCAACGGCGACGAAGTATCACACACAATCTAATGATCATTTCATTTCTATGCCGCATCAGCCTAATCCCTCGTCTCTGGCTATTCTATGCTAGGCAAGCTCCGTGAGTTAGGCAAGCTACGTGAACGGAGTTGAAGTAAGCATATGTGGAACCCAGGCCCAGCTTGAAAGTCGAAATTGGGTCCAACCATCAAAACGCACGACAAACAACTGTCGTGCATATGTCGCATGCAGAAAATGCGAACGCGCGAGCACGATCTGAATTTTTCTTTTGGCGGGAACGAATCACGTGTGTTCAGTCTGTGGAAGGGCGATGCCCGTAACAGTGTTTTACACAGCCCAGCGTCGTTCCACTTTTGCTTCTTCCGAGCACGATTTCAAGTTGGATCCGCCTTCACTATTTTATATTTCGGTTTTAAGCTACTGCCATAGGCGACAGAATGATTCACGCATGTAAGAGTCCAGCAGCGGGCACAACCACCATGGCCAATGGAAGCAACGGAGGTGGGTGGGTGGCATCCACAAAGGCCAATGAGGCGATTGTTGAGGCCCATCAAAGTTCTATGACAGTACAGTACCATGTCGAAGCAAGCGACCAGAGGCGACTTTTGAGTCGACTCAAAAATCACATTGTTTGAGGCACGTCAAAGTTCTACTACCGGTACTAGCATGTCTATGCAAGCGACCAGAGGCAGACACAGGCGTCGTTGCCAGCAGAAACAATGGTGGTGGCGTCCACAAAGGCGAGCGTGCGGTGCCGGTGATTGTTGAGGCACCTAAGGAGTTCACTCCAATGTCTACGGAAGCGACCAGATGCGGACGCAGGCGTCGTTGCCGGCAGACACAATGGTGGTGGCGTCCACAAAGGCGAGCGCCGACACGCCGCCCACGTGCGCGTTCTTGAGCGTGACGCGGTCGGAGGGCGGCTTGCTGACGTCGTAGACTAGGATGGACATGTCGAGTGAGGCTGTGGCCACACGCGCTGAGTCTGGGGACCATGCGAGAGTGCTGATGCGCGCCGTGTGGTACACCATGTTGCGCATCTTCACCTGGTGTGTGGTGGGAGATACGAGGGAAGGAAAAGGGAGGGGAGGGGAGGGGAGGAAAGAGTGGAGGGAAGTGTGGAGGGAAGAGAGGTGGGGAGCAATGATGCTGGTGCTGATGTGCACCGTGCGGTACACCAGGTTGCGCAGATTCACCTGGTGTGCGGCACGAGAGGGAGGGCGGGAGGGGGGGAAGAGAGCTGGGACGTGAGAAGGGTGTGGGGGACAGAAGAGGGAAATAAAGAGAGGAGTGAGATTTAGAAGCCATGGTGCTGATGTAAGTTGTGTGGTGCACTCCAGAGGCCAGCACTCCATATGGCGTGATGATGAGCGAATCTGTTTTTTGAGAGTTCTCCAAAAACACAGTCAGCTTAATATCACCCTCCCCAGGTTTTTAGTGTGGTGCACTCCAGAGGCCAGCACTCCATATGGCGTGATGATGAGTGGCATACAGAGGAGAGTCGAGAGAAAGCAAGTGTAAAGGAGAATAAAAGCACCAGGAGCATGAGCAGAGGAAAAAGAAGAAAACAATCAAGAATGGGACTGTCAGTCAGCAAGAAAGACCCAGGCCTTATGGACAGGCAGGCAGGCAGGGGGGCGGGCAAGAACATGAGTGGGCTGGAGGGGCAGGCAGGAAGGCAGAAAAGACGGCAAGCAATCAAGCAAGCAGCGGACAGACTCACCTCTCGTGTGGCGGTATCCCACACAACAGCCTCCCTGTTCTGGTCCCCAGTGGCCAGCATGGACCCATCCGGCGAGTAGCGCACAGCGGTAATAGGCCCCCGGTGCCTCTCCAGCTTCGCCACCTCCTCCAGCGTATCCCCCGTCACACTGAACACTCTCACCACCCCATCCTCCCCTCCCACCGCCGCCTCCTTGCCGTCGGGGGAGAGAGCAGCAGCCGTGGCTGTGAAGGCGGGAGTGATGGAGGAGAGGAGCTTGGAGGAGCGGAGGAGGGTGAGGCCCGAGGCGGTGGTGAGGAGGGCGAGGTCCGGGTCGTGTGGTGCGATGCTGATGTCCTTGGGGTGCGCTCCAAGTGCAATTGTTGGCGTGTCAGCGATCGGCGTGAGGTCCGAGAGGTTCAGCAGCTGAACCTGGAGGTTTGGGAGGGAGGGGGGTTGGGAGAGGGGGAGGGAGGGAGGGAGGGAGGGAGGGAGGGAGGGAGGGAGGGAGGGAGGGAGGGAGGGAGGGAGGGAGGGAGGGAGGGAGGGAGGGAGGGAGTGAGGGAGTCAAGGACGAGGGAGACGGGGCGGGTTGAGGGGAACGGGGAGGGGGGGGGAAAGAGAAAGCATCGGTGGGATGATATGGTTCCAAGGAGAGAGCAGTGCCAAGAACAGAGGAGGAGAGGAGGGGCAACTGGAGGGTGGCAAGGCAGAGACGCAGAGGCAAGGGGCAGTACAGCAGAATGGCACATAGCAGAACGGGAAGGGGCAGAGAGGAAAGGGGCAGAGGGACAAGAAATAGGGAGAGGCGCAAGGGAGAGAGGAGAGAGCAGGGGTACTGACGGTATCATCATTGCATGCGAGTAAGAGCGTGCTGCCCGCTGCTGCCATGGCCGCCACACCTCCAGCAGCAGCACCCGGAGCAGCAGCAGCAGCAGCAGCGGCAGCAGCAGCAGGTGCCTCCATCCGACCAAGCGACCCGGTCTCGATGTTCCAGCGCACCACCGTGCTGTCATAGCTGCCTGTCACGAGCTCTGTGGGCGCGCCCGCCGCGTCCCCTCCTCCCGGGGAGAAGAGTGCGAGTGCGGTGATGGGCTTGCAGTGGCCCACGAGCGTGCGCAGTGGTGCGGAGGGGGATGCGGGCGAGAGGAAGTGGATGTCCCCGTTGAGGGCGACGGTTATGAGGTGCTCTCCCACCCATGCACACCCCACCTGGGACAAGAAGGGAAGAAGCAGGTGCGGGTAGGGGGCGTGGGCAGTGTGTGGGGGAAGGCGACAGGGGTCAGAGAGGAGGGAGGGAGATAGTTTGGAGAGAGGATAGGGATGTGTGGCACGTCACCCAGTCTTATGAATCTCACGCTCTTACATGTAGTTTGAAGAAGAGGTAACCTTAGACCCGACTAAAAAACCGTGACTCTCACGCTCTTGCATGTGATGTGGTCCGTCTGCAGACGAGGTAACTCTAGAATCGACTAATGAGTTACCGTGACTCTCACGCACGCTCCCGCATGTGGACCGCAGCAGACGAGCCCCAGGGGGCATGTGATGTGATAGTCACGGTGGCACTGCTCCCTGGTGAATCGACTGGAAACCCAATCACCCAGGCTCAGGAGTCAGGAGTCAGGAGTCAGGACTCGCACCCACAACGCACCTGTATGTGGTCTAGGGAGGAGCCCAGGGGGAAGGTGGTGGCATTTGAGGCGCCTCAGGAATCGTCTCACGAGTCAGGACTCTCACCCACCCACGACATGACGCACCTGCATGTGGTCTACGGAGGAGCCCAGGGGGGGACTTTTGAGTCGACTCAGCAGTCAGGACTCACACCCGCAACGCACCTGCATGTGGTCTACGGAGGAGCCCAGGGGGGGACTTTTGTGTCGACTCAGCAGTCAGGACTCGCACCCGCAACGCACCTGCATGTGGTCTACGGAGGAGCCCAGCGGGAAGGTGGTGGCGACGGTGGCCGTGCTGCCGTCTGCTGCCACGTCCCACACCTTGGCCGTCTTGTCTGCTGACACTGTCAGCAACTGTGGCGTTTGGGGAGGGAGAGGGGGAGGGGGGGGAGGGGGGGGAGGGGGGAGAGGCATGGGAGGATGGGAAGGGTAGCCGCCATGGTGAGGGGAGCGGCAGTGAGGTGAGCAGTGGGTTCGTGTGCGTGACGGCGACGGGTTGGCAACACCACTTTCGTTCGTCCATTTTTGTTGCAAAGAGGAGGACGAGAATAAATAGCAGCTGCGGGGTTTCTTGAGCGTCGAGTCGACTCAAGTCAAGAGAGGAGAGGCGGAGCTGCTTTCGTGTAAATCCATCTTTCTTTCGTAAAATGAGGGTGGGAACGAATAGCAGCCGAAGCCAGGGGAGAATGCTTTAGGGTTGCAGAGAGAGGACGGGGTTGTGGAGAGGGGACGGGGTTGCGGAGAGGGGATATAGGCTGGAAGGAAGGGGAGGATGGCAAGAAGAATGGCGGATTGGCAGGGAGGGAGGAAGAGGGTGGCATGGGAGCGGGCAACCAGCAAACAAGCGCACACATGCATCGCTCACAGCAGAAAGCATCCCGCCCCACCGACTCCCCATCCCCCTTCGCTCACCCTTTCCCTTCCCCCACCTTAGCCTTCCCCTTGCCTCTTACCCTTCCCTCTCCCCGCCCCTTCCATTCCCCTCATCGCCACCGTCACCAGCAAAGCCACCTAGATCACCCTTACTCCGCGCCCTCACCCTCCCATCCCCCCTCCCTCCCTCCCCCTCTCCCCACCCCGCTTCCCCTGCCTCCTCCATCCAACCGACTTCCCCACCTGCTTGCCGTCGGGGCTCCACGCGGCGGCGTACACGCTGCCCGTGTGCGCGTCGTCCGCGCTGAGCGTGCCGCGCTTCTCGCCCGTCTTGCCGTCGAACAGCTGCCCCTGGCGGTCCGACGACACGGACACCAGCAGCGCGCCGTCCGGGGAGAAGCGCACGCAGTTCACAAAGTTGCCGTGCTCCCTGGCGGGACGGGGGGGGGGGGGGGGGTGGGGGGGAGAGGAGGGGGGAAAGGGGGAGCCCGCGCATGGCAGGCGCGCGGAAGGGGGGGAAGAGAGAGTGGAGCGGGGGAGGGGGGGAGAGGGAGGGGGGACGGGGCAAAGGGAGAGGGGGGAAAGGAGGGGGGGAGGGTGGGAGGGAGGAGGAGAGAGGGAGCAAGGGTAGTTGGGTTTGAAAATGGCAAGGTGGGGCGGGAAGCGGGGGAGCAAAGGAAAAGGACAGCAGTGGTTGGAGAGGATGGGAGAGGAGGGCGGGAGGGGAGAGACGAGACGCAGAGAGTAAGTAGGAGAGGCAAGCGGCACAATGCAATCCACAATGTTCCTCTCTCAGTGCAAAATGAACATTCGTGTTCATATCCTGCGAGCGACGCGAGGCTAGGCCACCCCGTGCCTCATCCACGGCCACCCGGCCATCCGTGTTCTATTACCACCCGGCCGCCATGCACCACCAACAACCAGCCCAATCCCCGCTAACGCCCTCCCTCATTCCCCTTACCCTCAATATACCCTTTCCCGCACCTTGTCCCCTGCGCTTCCCCTTTACCTTCCCCTCATCCCCTTCCCCAGCTTCTTCCCCATACCCCTCTTCCCCCACTCCCTTTCCCTTCCCCCCTCCCCCTCCTCTCGCGCACTTATTGGAAGCCTTGAAGCGGAACGGCGGGCCTTCATAGTAGTTGATTGCAAAGTCCTCTCCGCACGTGAACGCGCGGAACGGGCGCGCGGGGCGGAACGCGCAGCTGAGCACGCGCTTGGTATGGCCCTCGAAATCGCCCAAATTTCCGCCCGAATCCCAGCTGCGGGGGTGGGGGGGGGGGGGGGGGGGGGAGGAGGAGAAGGGAGACACGGGAGAAAAGGGGAAATAGGGGAAATGGGGGAGCGGGGCAGGAGGAAGAGGCGCGACGGGAGCTACCCTTATCCAAACGGGGGAGAGCGGGTTGGGGTTGCCATTGCGAGTCGGGAAATTCGGCGGGCTGTCCGGATAAGGTTGGCGGTTTGGATTGTCGAGTACGATGGAGGAATGCGGAGTGCGGAATGCGGAATGCGGAATGCGGGTGAGTGGGGGGCGACGAGATGAGAGAGGGCGGCATGATATCCTATGACATGGCACAACATCACAACGTGAGATGACATGACATGGCATCACAGTCACAGGATGCGGCGGATACACATTACACAGCTCGAGGGAGGAACAGGACAGAGAGGTCCTCAGTGGAGAATGCATCCAACGAGCGCAACGCGATGATCGATTACTGCCGGTCGACTCACAGCCGAATCACAGCCGACTGACAGCCTACTGCCAACCGCCTGACAGCTGATTCACAGCGGAATTGCACTCGATTGACATCCGACTGCCATGGAGAGTCTTGGAACTCGTTATACCACAAGCATCAGCGTAGGACAAATATATCTGATCCGATGCGATCCGATGCGATCCCACTCACGTGAACGCGCGCACGTAGGTGGGCTTGCCGTCGCCGCACACCAGGATCCTCTGGCCGTCTGGCGACCACTGCAGATCGTCGATCGGCCCGTTAAGAGCCTTCAATTCGTACTTGAGCCGCCGCTCGCCGCCGCGCCCCCACACGCGCACCGTTCCGCTCACATCGGCGGACGCCACCCACTCCCCGTTGGGCGAAATGCGCGCGACGGTCGTCGGATAGGAGTGCTCGGAGTAGATTGAGCAGTCGCGCGGGTCTTTAAGCGATCGTATGACGACGGATTTGCCGGAACAGTAGGTAATCACCTCGGTCGCGTCGTGCGATCCGATCAGCAGCCCTCGCCCGCGCTGCGTCGCCGGATTCGCAGCGAATGTGCGACTGGGAGTCGCTTCCATTGCGGCGACGGAATCTCTGGGAACCAGCAGCAGCAGGAGCGAATTCGGATGGGTGAGGCTACTGGATTGATTGGAAAGCAGGCGGAGAAATGTGAAGGAAAATCTAGCACCCTCAAGGGAGGGGACGGAACGGAACTGATGAATGTGAGGAAGAGAGAAAGGGATGGACAAATCCAAGTGAATGTGGGGACGGGGGTGGGTGGGTGGGTGGGGTGATCAGGGCAGCTTCTAGAATTCGGCAATCCCATGGTCGATCATTGCGTTGGGATTGTCGGAAATTTGGGTGTTGGGGGCGTGGGGACGTGGGGAGGGCGGGGCTGGATGCTGCGCTGCTGGGCTGGTCAGGTTGGTTGGCGGGGTGGGGTGCGTAGGAAAGGGGGAACTTGGATTCAGGGGGGACGGGGTCGACATGCGCGGATTCGTTCTGATGGTCTCGGTAGATGACTCGATAGTGTCAACAGAACAATAAGTAACATTTAGTGGACTGGATAACTAAAATTTCCGAACTTATGCAGTGTTGACCACCTTCAAATGCTGGCTTGTCAGCCAACATGGCTCATGTATTCAGGGGTAGGACGTGAATGACTCCAATATCGTACAGAGCAGCATGCATGTACAAGGAAGTGAAAACCTGTGTGCAACAACTAAACCTCTAGGCTCTTGCGCTCGTTTACTTAGTGTACAACGGAGGCACCTGCCATTTCCCGAATCCCCACACCAACAACGATATTGAATCGTCTGCCTGAAAATAGCAGTACCATTTCACGAAACTTGTCGGCCTGCATAGTTACCCTTGAGATGCCGGTCACTCAAATCATGACACGGCATGGCATGTCAAGGCATGGCATGGCACGTCATGGTCAGTGACGCATGGGCCATACTCCAGCAAGTGGAATGGAAGACTGCAAGAATAGCGGCGCATTGGGCGACGGCAGGTGTGGGTCGGAGGGGGGTTGGTGGAGGCGCGAAAGCCACTGGCAGGCGACAATGACGTCTGATGCCACGCCCGTGATGCTCACTGCCACGCCCACCACGAGCATGCTCCACACCGCCACTCTCTCTGTGCATGTAAACGTTAGCCCTGGGGTTCTGGTGGTGCCATGCAGGGCAGAGGGTGGGAAGGGGACAGGGAGAGGGCGATGACCTTTTGAGTCGACTCTGTGATGCTCACTGCCACGCCCACCACGAGCATGCTCCACACCGCCACTCTCTCTGTGCATGTAAACGTTAGCCCTGGGGTTCTGGAGCGATGTTGGGCCGAGGGGGGAATGGGGAGGAGGAGGAGGGCGGGAGTGTGGAAGGGGGAGCGGGGCACGGAGAGAAATCAGGTGGGGGTGAGACAGGACGGGTATGGGGGGGAGAAAGGGAGGAATGGACGAGTGCAGACAGATGTGCGCTAATGTGAGTTGAATGCGACTGACGACGGGCAAGGAGAAGAGTCAGAAGGAAGATACAGGAGCAGGGCGAGCAGGCTATTGCGAGCCAAATCTCACAGCAAAGCGAGGAGTGCGGGGAACGTGAAGCCGATGGACACAGCAACGATGGCCCCGAGCAGCGAGAAGAGCGCGTAGATGTCGGGCACGAGCACGCCGCACGCGAGGATGAAACCCATGGTGGCGGTCGTGAGCCAGAAGAAGATACAGGAGCAGAGTGACAGCAGACAGCAGCACGGGCAGGCTGACAGCAGCACGGGCAGGCTGACAGCAGCACGGGCAGCGACAGACTCACAGAGGCATTGAGAAGCAGGAAAGTGGGGGAAAATCTCACAGCAAAGCGAGGAGTGCGGGGAAGGTGAAGCCGATGGAGACAGCAACGATGGCCCCGAGCAGCGAGAAGAGCGCGTAGATGTCGGGCACGAGCACGCCGCACGCGAGGATGAATCCAATGGTGGCCGCCGTGAGCCAGAAGAAGCGCCGCTGCGAGCGCCACAGCGGCAGGCGCGCCTTGGGGAAGAGCAGGATGTCGGCGGTGAGGCGCAAGGGGAAGTGCACGATGGGGAAGACGAGCAGCAGGTGGACTATGTAGCCCACCCGCACTATGTCGTCCATGGCCTGCGGGAGAGAAGGGGGGATGGGGGGAGAATGTGGGAGGGATGAGGGGGGTGGGGGGGAAGAGGAAAAGAGGGAAAGGGGGAAAGGGGGGGGGGGAAGTGGGGATGGGGGGAGAATGGGGGAGGGATGAGGGGGGTGGGGGGGAAGAGGAAAAGAGGGAAAGGGGGAAAGGGGGGAGGGGAAGGGGGGATGGGGGGGAAGAGGAAAAGAGGGAAAGGGGGAAAGGGGGGAGGGGAAGGGGGGATGGTGGGAAGGAGAAAGGGCGAAGGGGTGAAGGGATGGCAGTTGAGGGGGAGAAGGAAGAGCTGGATGTCTTTTGAGAATTCTCAAAAAACAGGGGGAGAAGGAAGAGCTGGATGTCTTTTGAGAATTCTCAAAAAACAGGGGGAGAAGGAAGAGCTGGATGTCTTTTGAGAATTCTCAAAAAACAGGGGGAGAAGGAAGAGCTGGATGTCGGCCGTGAGGCGTGAAGGGAAGTGCACGGTGGATGATGTAGCCCACGCGCACTATGTCGTCCATGGCCTGGGGGATGGTGTGGGGGGAAGAGAGGGGAAAACGGGAATGGATGGGGGAAAGGGATCAGGGGGAAGACACGAAAGGGGGGAACGGGGGGAAGGGGACTCGTGAGCCAACTGAAAGACCAGAAGGGGGCCTGCTTTCCAACACCCTGTCTACCCTGTCTACCATTTCCACCCTTTCTTCCCCTTTTCCCGCTTTCCCTTCCTCCCCCCCCCCCAACTCCCCTCCCCCTCCACTCCCTCTCCCAGCCCTCACCTGGCTGAGCCCCAGGTCCTGGTCGTAGTTAGCGAGCACATCAGCAGCGGTGTTGTCGACGAACAGCAGGTAGGCAAAGAAGCCTAAGCCTCCCGCCCCATTATCCTTTCCCCGTCTCACCAACCCTGCTCCCTGCGTTCCAACCCTTTTTACCGCCCTTCCCCACTTCACCCGCCTTCCCACCCGTTCCTAATTTTCCCCCAAATTCTCCCTCTTTCCCCATGTTTTCCCTACCCCTTCCCCTCTCCCAGCGCGCACCTGGCTGAGACCCAGGTCCTGGTCGTAGTTAGCGAGCACATCAGCAGCAGTGCTATCCCCAAACAGCAGGTACGCAAAGAGCGCCGTGGTGCCGTACAGCGCCGTGCAGATCACCTGCGCCAGCCCTGCTGCGCGCTCCATGGTGGCCGCTGGGGCTACGCAGGAGGGGGAGTCCTTGAGCTCGCGGTAGATGGGCTGGACTGCGCCCATTAGCCCAGGGAAACGGGAGCAGAGGGGAAAGGGATGGTGCGGGAAGGGAGAGGAGGAATGGATAGGCAGACGGGAAATGGGGGCCCAAGACAGCCCCGCTGCGCGCTCCATGGTGACCGCTGGGGCGATGCAGGAGGGGGAGTCCTTGAGCTCGCGATAGATGGGTGGACTGGTGGGGGGAGAAAGGAAGAGGGGGAACGGGGAGCTGTCAGAGCCCTGCTGCGCGCTCCATGTTGGCCCCGGGCGCCATGCCATGCAGGAAGGGGAGTCCTTGAGCTCGCGGTAGATGGGCTGGACTGGAGTGGGGGGAGAATGGGGGAGGGGGAACCGGGAGCTGTGAAATCCCTTCTGCACACTCCATGTTGGCCTCAGGCGCGATGCAGGAGGGGGGGTCCTTGAGCTCGCGGTAGATGGGGTGGACTGGCGTGGGGGAGGGATGAGAAGAGGGGGAACAGGAAGTTGTGAGAGCCCTGCTGCGTGCTCCATGGTGGTCGCTGGCGCCAGCGGAAGGGGAGACCTTGAGCTCGTGATAGATGGGCTGGACGGACTGGCGTGGGGGAAGGGATGGGAGGTGGCGGGAGAAGGCACAGGGTGCATGAGGGTAGAGGTGGGAGATGGGGAGAGGGGGATGGGGGCAAGCAAGCTCCAGCCCCACCCAGTGCACGCTCCATTGCAGTGGCAGGTGAAGGCGTTGCTTGGTTGGTCGTGACTGACACGCACGGCGGTGAATGTGCTTGTCTCACTTATGAGACATCTCACGATTGGTGCGGGGAGAGGGGTGAGGTGAGAGGGGTGAGGGGTGGAGGGGGAAAAACGGAAACACAGCTAACATTGTGTTGGTCATGACGGGCACGACGGTGGGGGGTGTGGGAGGGGGTGGGGGAAGAGGGAGGGAAGAAAGGGGGGAGAAAGGCAAGGCAAGGCAGGAAAGCTGACCATTGTAGTGGCAGATGAAGGCGTTGGTCATGACAGGCACGACGGTAAAGATGAGCAGCACTGACTGCCATGACGACACGTCCGGTACCATGCGCAGGGGGGGGAGCCGCCCCTGCACCACGCGCACCACCGCTGCTGCTGCTGTGAAGAGCACAAAGAGCACTGCTAGGCCCACTGAGAGTGCTGACGTGGCCATGAGGGAGTCTGGTGGGAGGAGGGGCAGGCGGTCGGAGGGGGGTGAGGGGTTGGGGACGGGTGGGGGCAGGGTGGGCAGGGACGGGTAGGAGGGGTGGGGACAGGGTGGGGTGGAGAGGAAGGTTGGGGGGAAAAGGTGGAAGGAGGTGGATGGTGAATACAGTGTAGTCCTGACTGGGGGCTCATCTCATCGTATGGTGGTTGGCTGTATCACCAGGACACACACTAACCAACCACCACCACCATCCACCCACTCACCACCACACCACCCCACCCACCAATCACCAGCATCACCCACCCACTCAGGGACCTACCCACAGGGACTACCCACCTATGCGGCGGAGCAGCACGAGTGGCAGCAGCACGAGGGTGGTGACAGCGAGCAGCACCACGGCCCTGCCGTTCCACCACGTGGGCCCTCCTGCCAGCTCCTCCAGCAGCCCCACGTGGTGCACCATGCCACCCGCCTCTGACGTGCCTGACAGCACGTCCGCTGTGGGGGGGAGGAGGGGGGCCATGGGAAGAAGGGGGGCCATGGGAAGAAGGGGGGCCATGGGAAGAAGGGGGGCCATGGGAAGAAGGGGGGCCATGGGAAGAAGGGGGGCCATGGGAAGAAGGGGGGCCATGGGAAGAAGGGGGGCCATGGGAAGAAAGGGGGCCATGGGAAGAAAGGGGGCCATGGGAAGAACGGAGGGGAAAGTTTGAGTGGACTCAAAAGTCAACGTGGTGCACCATGCCGCCCGCCTCTGACGTGCCCGCACGTCCGCTGCGATTTGGGGGTGGGAGGGGAGTAGGCGGGAGAATGCGGGGGACGGGGTTGAAAGGGGGCGGGTGTGACGCTGCTGAGTACGCTAGGCGGGAGTGAAAGCAAGGGGATGTGAGAGAGGAGAGAGACAAAAGGCGCACGCATGCACGCACGCACTCCCCCTTCTTTCCACCCCCCCTCCTTTTTCCTTCCCCCCCCTCCCCCCACACACACTCACCCGTCATGATGAGGTAGACGATGAGCAAGCCCAGCGCGTGCAGCGGAGGTGTAAGGAGGGAACCAGAGGGAAGGAGGGATGCATGCACGCGCGCCCGCACCGCACACACACACACTCACCAGAGATGATGAGATACACGATGAGCGACCCCAGAGCCTGTAGCATGACCATCACCTCGCACAGCACGCGCCCGCGCTCGCCAAAGCGCGTGCCCATGAGGTGGCCGTACGACGGCGAGTTGGTGGCGGCCGCCAGGCGCACTATGATCAGCACCGCGCTGTGCGTCAGCGCGCCCATGAGCGCAATCAGCAACAGCCCCAACGGAAGGCCCAGCACCTGATGCGGAGAGTGGAAGGGGGAGAGAGGGTGCGGGGAGTTGGGGGAGGGGGAGGGGGGGTGGAGTGGGACGGGGAGTGGTAGGGGGAAGTGGTCGGGGAAGTTGTAAGGGTAATGAGCTATGATGAGCACAGCGCCGGGGTTGAACGAACCCAAGCATCACTATGCCATGAGCAGGGGCAGGAGCAGGAGCAGGAGCACCCCCGCACGAGCAATATCACACCTTAACAATGGCGTAGGTGTTTTCGTTCGTTTACGATGCTCCCTTGTTTGTTTTGTTTTGTTGGTTTGTTTGTTTGATCTTTTGTTTGTTCGTTTTAGTTTGTTAAGGCGGGCAGCGTTGGAAACACAGTGCACGATGTCATTACGGCGCACCTTGACAGTAGCGGGAAGCGCCATAATGCCCGCGCCCACGCTCGTCGTCGCCAGATTGAACACCGCGCTCCACAATCCCCCGCCCCCACCCCCGTGCCCTCCGCTCAGCATCGCGGCCTCTTCCGCCCTGCCTCCGCCGACACCGCCCTTCCCCCCTTTCCCTCCGGATGCAGCGCCGAGTCCAGCCAAATTCCCCGTGGAACGGCGCAGAACCACCACGTCATCCAAGTGATCCTCGCCGTCGCTCGCGCCGTTCATAGCGGCGCCATTCGCGGTGGCTACTCGGTCGCCCGCGGGTTCCGCAACCGCGTTTTCTAGAGGTTTGTGAAGGAGAGGGGCTGTTAATGAATCCATGGCGTCACTTGGTGGAGGAAAGGGGAAGGGAGGAGGCCGGAAGTGGCAAGGGAAGGGAAGAGCAAGTAATGGGAGACACGAATAAACTGAACGGTGTTTTGTTTCGAATAGAAGTGCAACTACGAAACTAAGCCTGAAACCTTTGTCTCAAAACACGTGGAGACATGGCTTTGCAATATGCGAGCGGAGGCTACGGATTGATAATAAACTCCCAGCAATAAAATGTGTATTGCAGATAAGCTAGCGTGGCAACCAAGATAAGCCTTCGAGCCGCTGTCTCGATTGTACCGTAGAGGAATGGATCGGCTGAAAATGATGAGAACTGCACAATGACGACCAGTTGCTACGAATACTCGCTGTGTCTCTCTACTGCGAATCCCACTTCCCTGATGCATTACACTAGTTCAAGAACGGTTTAGTGAGCTGCTGAAACTTCTACAACGGCTGAGTAGTATTTTACAACGGTTTGGTTGTGGAACCACATAACTAGCAGTTGTGTGCCTTCGTTCGGTTTCGCATGACTAGATGCAATCTGGCGACCGTCGTCACGGGCAAAATACAGTTCGACGACTTTGGTTACCGGCTTGGTTTCTCTGGCTTCGGCAGAAACGGCAAGCCAGGCTTTTTCACCTCCCAAAACACGTGCGAGAGAGCCACTCGTTTCGTTACCTTCTGAAGGGATGCGAGCCGCGCTAAATTGGTTGGTGTGTGCTGCGCCGGAGCTGATGTGGCGCCACCCTTGAAACGCCCTGGGTGACGCGACTATCGAATCTGACGTTACCACGTGGTATGGCTATTGAAGACCTGTCAACAGCCTTGGGAACGCATTCGTGGAGCACACGACGGACAAACTCCAAGCTTGTTCTCTACAGTGCAATGGAGGACTCGGCGCGCGAACCGGCCGGGCGTGAGAAGGAACCGCTGATGGCGCCTAAGAATGCGGACAGAAATGCGTGAGGCTCGGGGGTTGTCATGTCACAGGCTGGTGAGAACCAGGTTCGAGGATCCAATACTGATCCGCCACCTCACTGTACCCACTTATTGTCTCTGAAACACACACAAGCGGCTTCAATTCCTCCCAAGGTCGACTCACTTAGATTCCAACTACGTGTTCTGCCCCCCTCACCTGCACTTCACATATGACGTTTGAGGTGTGCAACATGTTAGGGCAATAGCGACACATGGCATAAGTTAGCAGTAACCTACCTGCAAAAACAAGAATGTTAATGAGGTCGCATAAAAATCCTCTACCAGCCGCTCGGCTGTCAACGAATCAAAACCCCAACAGCCCACAGTGCCAGCAGCACCATGACAACCAGCATGAGAAATGCAGCAATCAACTTCACAAGCTGCGCTGTCCTCTCCTCGCGCTTCAGGCTCGCCGGCAAGGGCAGGGCGTTGATCAGCGCCGAGGACAGACCCGTCAGCCTCTGCGAGTTCAGCTGCCCAGCCATTTCCTTGGCAGTAACCGAGTCATCCATAATCATCGCTTCAATCTGAGCAATGGCATCTGCATCCACTCCTGAAGTACCCTTCCGCGCTAACGATCCCGCGCCCTGGCCCTTCTTGCCTTGCTTGCCTGCGTCCACGCTGGAGCTGCGACGCAATGCCCCCCCTCGCTTCGTCAACCGGCCATTTCTCCCAGCAGCAGACGAAGCAGTCGGGGTAGTGACCGACGCAGCGGCGGCAGGAGAAGGAGAAGGCAACACACCATTTTCAACCCCCTGCTTCTGGTCCGAGGGTACCGTCACTTCAGGCTTGGAAGGGGGAGCAGGGGCAGCAGCAGCAGCAGCAGCAGCATTCTCTGACAGAGTCCCAGTTGCAGCAGCCGTTGCTTCTGCGGCTGCTGTGACTGCATCCGCAGCAGCAGTTGCAGCGGCAATGTCAGCAGCAGCTGAGGCGCCGTTGGACGACGGCAGGGCTTTGGTGGCCGACTTGCGCCGCCCAGACTACAAGGGAAAGTGGGTGTACCATGGGATGGGAAACCGTAACACACATAGAAGGAGACCAGAGATGAGCAAAAAGAGTGAGGAGGGGAGGGGGCGAGTGGCGAGGGGGCGAGGGAGTGGGAAGAGAGACAACAGGTAAGAATAAAGGTGAGTAAGAAGCAGCAAGCAACCAACAGCAGGCTAGGGATATCATACATCTCAACACTCAGGTCACAATCCCGGCCATTAGTCTACCTTTGCCCGCTTCTGCTCCTCCCCTGCATCTCCTGCTGCTGTCACACCAGCAGGCTCCCCTGCTGAACCCTTATCTCCGTCCTCCGTGTCTGCCTTGCCAGGTGCCGCCTCTGCTGCCCCCGGTGCAGGCTGAGACTGCTTGGAAGCAGATGCACGCAACTGCTTCAGGTCCTTCTGTTGACAGGAGAGGGGAGGATGGAACGGGAAGCAAGGCGTGGGGAGAATGGAGCGGGGAGGGTGAAGCGGGGAGGAGGAAATGGAGGTGACGTGAGACAAGCGGGATGTGATGGGTTTAGGGTGGGAGTGCACAGCAGATCAGGGGGCACTGCAACAGCGGGTTGACAGGGGTGCAGGGGGATGACGGTCAAGGCCGAAAGTATCAGATTAGTTTAAGGACAGAAGAAGTGGAAGAGAAGTTGTGTTCAAGACCTGGAGGGACGAATTGAGGGAGCGGAGGCGAGCAAGCTCCGCCTCCAGAGCGTGGATCTTGGCTGCCTCCTGCTCCTGCCAGACCACTCACACACACACACACATGCACACAATGAACACACACACACACAATCGCACACACTCACACACACACAAACACACACACACACACACATGCACACAATCGCACACACACACACACACACACACACACACACACACACACACACACACACACACACACACACACACACACACACACACACACACACACAATCGCACACACACACAATCGCGCGTGCGCGCGCGCACACACACACACACAAAAGATACAGATGGTGCTCGTATGTGAATTTACTGACAGCAGTACACACGAACTTGGTTTCACAACAAGGGTGTGTAAGCGAGGGAGAGGGGGGGGAAGAAGGGAGTGCTATGCATGGTAATCTAGAGGTCTTGGCAAATTCCGGGCGAATGCGCAGCATTGCCCTACAACAACACTGTTTCGAAGGCAATCAACAGTGCATTTGGCAGAATTAGGTGAGTGGGAGCACATAACATACAGCAGTGGCTAGCTGCGCCTTTGCTCCGGTGAGCTCCTTCTGCACGGACGCCAGCAGCTGCTCCTTGGCTGACAACTGTGGGGACAGGCGCGGGAAAAGCAGGGAGACGCGCAGAGAGGGCAGAGCAACAGCAAGCAAGGTCAGTACACACGCACGCACTAACATACCGATGATCAAGCCTGGAGGCGGCTGATGGACTGTGACTGGCAGAGGCAAATGCCACAGCCAGCACAAAGCCACACTCGTGACTCCTCACTCGTACAGAAGGAACACCGCAACAATGGCATGATCACGCCAGGAAATACAGACTCTATATCTCCATCGCCCTGCCTGAGATCCTCTCCAACCCACTGCCCTCCCCCACTGCCCCACTGCCCCACTGCCCCACTGCCCCATTGCCCCATTGCACAATCACCACCCACCTGCTGGCCCACGCGCACCCACCTGCTGCTTGTGCTTGCTCTGTGCGTCCTGCAGCCTTGCCTCAGCCTCGTTGAGCTTCACCCGCAAGCGCCTGCTCTCATCCCCGCGTGCCCTCAGCGCCGCTAACTGCCCCTCCAGTGCAACCTCCCTCGCCGACTTGCCCTTTCCACCGCCTGCTGCAGCTGCTGCTGCTGCGATGCTGGCTGCTGTTGGCGTGGTGGCAGCAGGGGGGGCTGCAGCTGCAGCTTCTGCCAGCCTCTGCTGCTCCTGCTCCTGGTGCTGCTGCTGCTGCTTTGCCATGGCGTCTTGCAGGTCTGAGAGTTGGTTAGCAAGCAGCGAGTTCTCTTGCATCAAATTATGCATCTGAGGAAGAGCCATGGCACACCAACATAAAAAAAAACACACACGGGGGAGCATCGTTGCTGTCAGGGATCACGAGAGTACAACAAGAAAAGCACAAAACCAGAGGGCAGAAAGCAAGGAAAGAGGGCACATGAACGGCAAACAAAGCTGCTGCTTTTCTAGCTGAGCGTTGAGCGCACACACACGCACCTGCGCCTGAAGCTGCTGCACCTCGCCCACGTGCTGCGTCTGCATCTCCTGCACCTGCCCCTCCACCTGGGCCTGCATCTGCGCCTGCATCTGCCGCGCCATCTGCTCCTCCTGCACCTGCGCGCGCAGCTGCCCCTTCTCCGCATCCCCCGCCTCCACCTGAGCCACCAGCACCGCGTTTTCCCTCTCCCGCTGCTCCAGCAGTCCCTTCAGTTCCCCCAGCCACGCCTCCAGCCGTCCCACCTCCTCCCCCCGCCCCGCCACCTGCGCGCTCAGCCCCTCAACCTGCTGCTGCGCCAGCGCCGCCTTCCCTTCCGCCTCCTCCAGGCTCCGCGCGGCGGCTTCCGCCCTGCTCTCGCTCTCCATTGCGTGCATCCGCTGCTGCTCCAGGGCCTCCGCCAGCTGCGCCGCCCGGGCCTGCACCTCCGCGAGCTCATGCCCCTGCCGCACGCACTGGCTCTCCAGCTCCTGACGTCTACACTCCAGCGCCTTCACCCTCTCCTCGGCTTCGGATCCCTTCTGCGCCTCATGCAGCCGCTGCTGCTCCTCCTCGCGCCATCTCAGCTCCCGCTGCTCCATCTCCTCCGCGCGCCGCTTGAGCGCCTCCGCCTCCGCCTGCAGCCGCGCAACTTCCTCCTCCAGCCCCGCGATTCTCCTCCTGCTGCTCTCCGCGTCCTTGCTCGCTGCCTTGTCTTTTTCGCTCGCCTCCTCTGCCCATTTGCTCTCAGCTGCGGCCTTCTCTTGCCGGGCAGCGTCCAGATCGGCTTGCACGCGCTGCAGCTGCTCCTCAACAGCTGCCGCCTGTTGCTGACTCTTCTTCCCCTCCTCTTCCACTTGCTTCCACTTGGACTCCGCTTTCTTCCACTCCACCTCACGCGACGTCAGTGCTGCCAATTCGCCCCTCAGCTTCTCTCCCTCCTCCTTCAGCTTCTTCTCTTCACCCCTCAGTTTCTTCTCCTCAGCCCTCAGTCTCTCACCTTCCTCAATGAGTTTCTTCTCCTCACCCTTCAATCGCTCCGCTTCCTCCCTCAGCGCGACAGCCTCACCCGACAGCCGCCCCACCTCCTCCTCCAACTCCGCAATCCTCGCTTTCTTCGCCTCATCCTCCTTCCTCCTCTCCTCCTCCTGCTTCTCCCGCGCTCCCTGCAGCGACTCTGCAGCAGTCACCGCCGCAGTCCCCTCGCCCTCCCCGCCCACCCACTCTCCCCCACCTTCACCCCACGAGCTCGCGGAAACCAGCGCCGACGTCCCCTCGCCCTCACCGCTCACTCCATTACCCGCGGCAGCGGCGGCAGCCGCCTTTCTAAGCTTCATCCCAGCGGGCCCCGATGCGGCCCCCATCGCCGCCGCCACGCGCGCGTCCGCCCGCGCCCTCTCCTCCTCCAGCTCCCGCTGGAGCGCATCAATCTTCCCCTCTAGCTCCGCGCGCAGCGCAGCCAATTGCTCCTCCGCCATCTTCTGCGCGGCGGCTTCCGCCTCCGCGGAAAGCCGCGTTTCCGTCTCCACAAGATCCGCCCACGTGCCCGACCCCATCCGCCCGCTCGGCTCCTCGCTTTCCCCAACGCCCGGCACATATGACGCGGGGAACTTCTTCGCTAGCTTCCGCTCAAACACCTTTCCGCCCATTCCCCCCAGCCCCGGCAGGTCAGCGGAAGCGGTTTTCATCTCGCTCGAGGCGGCGTCCGCGGTGGCTGCGCCCGCGCCGGAGGCGGCGGTTGCTTCTCCGCCCACCAGCCCGCTCGCGCGGCCTTCCGCGCACTCCTGCGCGAGCTTCATGGCGACATCCGCGCTGAACTTGGCGGATTCCGCTGCTTTTTCCGCCTCCACCGCGCGCTCCATGAGCAGGCGGTTCTCCTCCCGCAGCGCCGCCAGCTCCTCCTTAGCGCGCACGGCGTCATCTTCCGCCAACGCGCGCGCAATTGCATTTCCCGATTCCGCAGCAACCACCCCCTTGACCTCCTCCTCCTGCTCGCCCTTCCCCCCGCCGGTTCTGCCGCCGGGGGTGGCGGGGAATTCCGGTTGCGCGTCAAAGGCGGAGGCGCCCGCGAACTCCATGAGCGCCAAGCGCTTGGCGCTGGACTCGGGTAGCGCAACCGCGCGCTCTATCCGCATATTCAGGCGCACCAAGGGGAACCTGTCCATTTGGCGCGGGAAAAACCAGGAAGGGGGGTTGGGGATGACGCGAAACCAGAGACGGTTGAGGGGGATTGGGAAGAAGAAAGATGAAAGAGGTGAGGATGTGGGTGGATGGGAAGGAATGGGAAGTGAGACCTGGAGATAGGGAAGTGAGACCTGGAGATAGGGAAGTGAGACCTGGAGATAGGGAAGTGAGACCTGGAGATAGGGAAGTGAGACCTGAAGTTCCTTAATAAGGGTTTCTGTCAAGGGGTACAGGTGGTGGGGCTATCCAAAGAAGGAGAGCGGAGAGGATTGCCACGGGTGCTGGTCGAAACCACGAAGCGACGAAACAGAGGGAGCGGTTCAGACGGAATAGAGGGTAGACTTTGGGCGAGGTTTTGAGCGAAAAGAGCGACACTCACTGACGGTTGGTGAGCGAGAAGAGCGGAGTGGGCGGCGGCGCCGCCGCCGCCCCAGAAGCAGCCTTGGCTGGTGACGCCTGCACGGAGCGGGACACCTGAGACGGCTCCACCTGCCAGTGCTCCCACTGCGGCCCGCGAGCCGGCAGCAGCGCGAATGGAGGGCGGAGGGAATTGGGTCAGATCGCGTAAAACGTGAAACGAGAAGCGAGCAAGATCCGCGTAAGGAGGGACGGGTTGAAGGAGACCAGAGAGCGTGAAGCAGGCGCGCAAATGCTGCACGATAGACGCGGACAGACGCGGACAGACGCGGACCGACGTACCGTCTTGAAATTGTAGTTCCCTGCTCGCATCTTGAGGTCCTTACCCGCCTGCATGATCTGCAGGGTGGATAGATGGGGCAACGGTAAGAGAGCGGGGACGAGCCAATGAGGGAGCGCGACGCAGGATAGTAGCAGGCTAGGAAATATATGGAAAGATAGAGTAGGAAGGGAGCGGCGGCAAACGGGAGTAGGGCGTTAGCCTAGTGGTCACTGTGTGTGTCACTGCAGATCAGCTGATTGCTTGATTGAGACCAGTGATACTCTGTGATACTCTCTAACCAGTGCTGCGTTCACATTCAATCCTCTTCCTCGTTGCACCATGCGTGAGCTGCGCTCACCTTGCCTTCCGCAGCCACGGAGCGGAAGCCGAAGTAGCGCTTGCAATCGGACTGAAGGACCACCAGCATGGCTTCAGGCGGGTACGAACTGCAGGGGGGAGAGGCGCACGCATGGTGCAACGATGTCAACGATGCTCATCGGCGTTCAATTAAGTTCCAAGAATGTTTAACAATGTTCATCGGTGTTTAACGATGCAGTGGTGGTCGGGGTCAGAGTCAGATGGACACAAACTGCCAAGGACCTGGAGCACAACAGCTCATTCTTTCCGATGCAAGTTCATGAGCTTTCCAGAAGCCTCAAAGAGCATGCCACATGCCAATGGCGGGAGCGATGGTGACGCTGTCTCTTACTGCCAGTCGTGTCTTCTAGTGCAAGTCCTGTCTACTAATCTGGACCAGTTTGATTGACGATGTGTCATGCAGAACCGACCTGTCGGCGTGTGGAGCATCATCGGAGGAAAACAAAGTCTCTCGACCGTTCGCCGAGGGACGCATGCGATACAGGCGGCCATCAGGCGTCGCAAGGACGACCAGATCGCCCACCTGAACGTGGCGAGGGGGGTTGAAACGGAGGAGAACGGACATTGGGTATAAATCGGATCGGAGCGTGATAAACTTGATTGATAAGAAGCGAGAAGAGGCACAATCACACCGCTAAACTCCGTACGATTGTTGACTCAAAGGATCAAGCTGAACGAGCTGGAAATCGTAAAAGCAGATTCAGGAAATTCGCACAGGAACGGCAAGCTACCTTTATGCTGTCCACAGTAGTCCCCATTTTTGCACCTCCGCAGGAATAGGCTCCGTAAGATTGTTGAACAAGGTTATCAAGAGACCAGCTACTGAGCAGTGTCCCTGAAGACAGAGCAGGAATCTGCTGAAGAAACGCTTTGTTGAATCGGGCTGGTCAGTGTGTGGTGGGTGGGTGAGTGAGTGAACCGAAACTGACTCAACTGGACGCTCCAGGGGCGAACAACAGAGAGGCCAAACAAGAGACGAGAGCACACATCACGTCACGATTCACGATTCACACAGATGGATGATGGATCACTGTGCCGTGACTCACGCACGTCACATCAATCTCCGCACCGCACATCACCGCTGTACTTCTTCACCTTCCCCACCTCTCGAACCTCGAATTTGGGAAGGGTGGGTGGTTGGGTGCTGCTGTGGATACGGGTGACGGGGAACCGGCAGGGCGGGAACAGAAGCAGTCGGCCCACTTGGGTGAGCTGAGCCATGTCTGCCAGCAATGTTGGACGAATTGAGATAGTGGTGCAGCTGCTTTTGGTTGATCACAATAGGTTCGTGATTTCCGAGGCTGCAAGTGTCAGAGCTTATCTGCCTCGGATAAATCAGATCAGGCGCTTTGAGTCAGCAGGTCCAGCCATACACCAGTTCCTCCCCAAGAGCAATGTGAAGGAACAGCAAAGACAAAGTGCAATACACTTCCTGGTAAAGAACTACCAAGGACAGTTATTAGTCAATGACTAGTAAACCTGTTAACCAGCAGCGGTTCACATCCTGTCCTGATGTTGAACAAGTTTCCTTATGGTTCGAAGAGCCATGAAGAAACCTTTAAAGAATATGCTAATATTAAGAACCTTGAGTACGGTACCTGCACAGCACATCTCTAGTTCACTAACAGCACATCACTGAAACTTACATCAACCACAGTCAGCAGCTGAACTTCCTCCCCAAGTATCCCCCTATGTTTCCACTTGATTCATCCTTCTGTTTCAACTGCACTTTGCGCCGTATATAATCATCACAAGGTGTACCAGGGGCGCTCCTCAGCCATGGCCACAGTCATGCCCTCCAGGTCCTTGTTCAGGTGCACCTGGCACCCGAGCCTACTGCTGCGCGTCACCTGCCCATCGGTTGACACCTGCCGCAGCCGATCCTCCTCTGCCTGCGACCGCGGTGGCAGCTTGTCCAGCCACTCCTGCGCTATCGACACTGGAAACGGGTGCATCGGGTTCACGGAAGTGGGGGGAGGGGAGGGGAGGAGGGGCGAGGAGCGGGGAGTGGGGGTGTGGGGGGAGAGGAAGAGGGGGAAGAGGGGGAAGAGGGGGGAGAGGGGGGGGGGGGGGGGGGGGGTGTGGTGGGGGCGTGGTGGAGGAAGGTGGGAGAACGTTAGTTGAAGGCAATAAGTGAAAGAGAACTTATACCGAAAAAAGGTAACGCAACAGCAACATGTGTAGTACGTGACAATGCTGGCATCTATAATTACAAAATGGGACAAAGGAATGGGGAAAAGGTGTGAGTTTCTTCAAAAAAGAAGCTGCTGCTGGCAAAGTGCCATACCCTATGTATTCTACAAAAAAGGGCACTGGCTGCTACTAGCTATCGCCTGATCGCCTAATCGACTAATCGCCTACTAATCTCCGGGCACCTATGCGCCTGTGCGCGCGATGCGCGCACGCACCTTGGCAGTTGCCGTTGCACGAATCCAGCTCCTCCAGCTGATGCCGCTCCACGGTTTCAACCTTGGAGCGGATCAGCGCAGACAGCAGCGTGCGCCCCGCCAGCCCCGTCACCGCGTGGCGGTGCCCGTCCGCGTCGATCGCGGTGAAGCGCACAGCGCGATCCGCCACAGTCGGCGCGGACGAGCCGGGCGCGACGGAGGATGCGGCTCGGCGTGGGACGGGGAGAGCGGAGTCGAGGAGCGGGACGAGACGCGGAAGGGCGCGAAGCGCGGTGCTGGTGGTTCGCTGTGCCGCGCGGAGAAGCAGAGCCATTGCGACTTGGTTGTGCGGAGGCGGGAGGGGGGCGGGAGGGATACGCGCGGAAGGCGGAAATGCTGCGAGAATACGGTGAAGGCGGGCGGCGGAGGAGATGGGCGGGAGGTCGAGAACACTGCTAGGGAAGCGCGAAGCTGTGAAGGGCACTTTCTCCCCCTTGTTCACTTCGTGCTCGTTGCACAGGCCCCCGCTAAGCGGGAAGCAACTTCGAAAATACAACGGGTGCACCCGACAGAGGCTTAACTAGTTCAATGTGAATGTGAGTGTGAACTAGAATAGAAAAGATTACTAGATGAGTTATCTACTACAGTCTAGGCGTATGGTAATCTTGAGCCTTGCAGCCTCAGCTGAAGGACCCCAGCGATCGCTACCGTACCTGATTATAAGCACATCGACTTGGTGCTTCGTGTCAAATGTTATTTCTATAAATAGAGAAAGAACTGCTGGTGGTTGTGAGGCTTCTGTAACTCAACCGCCTTCCACTGCCTTCCACCGTGACCATACGAAGTCCTCTCACAACCATTCCGCCACCATTGCCGGCCATGCCATGACCGGACACATACCCTCGCAAGTCCCACCCACCCACACAACGCTTCCCCAACAGTGCAGCACAGCAGGTTGCTCCCATGCTCCGGCAATATCATAAGGCTCGGCACTCCGGCACGCCAACAGATCCTGCTCACACTTGCAGGGGCCACCAAGTTCCAGCTTGTCTCACGTAGGAAACACGGGGCTATGGAGAGCAGAGCAGCCAGTGCTGAGGAAAGAAGTCGAGTACTAGGATGCTTGTGGTGCGCTGTAACCAGCCAATCAATTCTGGGGTTTCTTTCTTGCAGTGGTGGGTGGAGCAGTTATGGGTGTGGTAGTCCTCTTCACTGCAGGGGAACCACACCACACCACACCACACCACACCACACACACCACAGGGTAACGGGGAAGGGCAGACAGAAAGATGAAGGGTAGGTAGCAGGAACGGGTAGAGGGGAAGGTGGGGGTGAGGTTTGACAGTAAAAAGGCAGTCAGGTAGAGACAGACAGGAGAGTCAGCAACAGAGCACACGGGGAACACACGGAGTCAGCAACAACCTCCATCCCCAGTTCCCCCTTTTTACCCCCATCGCTGATTCACCCAATAACCCCCGCATTCAAATCCCCTTTTTACCTCCACTTCCAATTCCAACAATCCCCAAAAACTCCCTCATGGGCCTGTAACCTCTCGCCCATTCCCCTCTCCCCTTCTCTTTCCCCGCTCAATAACCCCTCACCAACCCAACCCCCCCCCCCCCCCCCTCATTCCAGAGGCAAAGCTCACATTGACTGAAGCGCCCTCCATGTTCTGAGTGGACTCTGGCGCTCCTGTTCCCCCCGCTGCCGAAGCAGCCCCAGCAGGAGCAGATGCAGCAGACCCAGAGGCAGTGGCAGCAGCAGCGGCAGCAGCAGCAGCAGCCAGGGAGTTGGACAGAGAGGCCTGCAGAGACAGGTCCTGCAGCCCACCACTCATCCTCGCTAAGAGCATATCCATTAACATCTCCCCGTCCTCATCCAGCCCTTCAAATTGCGACGCGCCCAGCGGGCCAATCACCTCCTGCCCCTCCCCTCCCTCCACTCCTCCCCTCAACCCCCCCCCATCCACATGCACTGAACCCCCTTCCGGAACCACCTCCTCCTTCACATTGCCTCCTGCCACTGCTCCCCCGCCTTCCGCCCTGCCCTCTCCCCCCTGGCTGCTGGCGGAACGAGCAGCACCACCGCTCAAGCCACTCCCCGTGTGCCCGTCCTTGGGCCCCTGCTGCCGGAAATACTGCGCCAGCAAGTCATGGTTACTGGTAGAACCATCCTTCCCTGCTCCTGCGTCACTCCCATCTGCTCCCACCCCTCCTGCCGCTCCTTCCCCCATCCCTGCTTTCAGCAGTCCTTCATCATTCCACCCGGACCCATTTCCCCCTGCACTGGACATGTCACCGCTCCCCCGATGTCCTTCCAGCCGCATGCCTCCTGCTCCCCGTGCCGCCATGCCGGGTCCTCCTCCTGCGGCTAGCGTTGTTGCTGCAATGGCGGTGGCTGCTGCCGCCGCTGCTGCCGCCTCAGCTTCGTCGTCGTCCATGTCCTGATGCGGTGGGAGGGAGTGAGGAACGATTGAGAGGGTAAGGGACGAGGGATGGGGTGAGGGACGAGGGAGGGAGGAGGGAGGGAGGGAGGGAGGGAGGGAGGGTGGAGCAAGGGAGAGAGGAGGAAGGGGGTAAGCAATAGTAAGGGAATCGCGAGAATCACGGAGAAAATGGATTCAAGAATTGATGGAATTTATGGGGCGATGGCAGGAAGGGAGAGAAGAAAGAAAGCAGTGTGGGGGGGGCGGAAGGAGGGAAGGAGGTAACGAGTCAGGTGAAAGAGGGATGGAAGGGAGGGGGGAAAGAGACCTCAAATGCAGAGGGGTCGGCAAGCGAAGCGAGGTTGCCATAGTCCATGGCTGCTAGCTTGCTGGACAGCAGCTGCAGGGCACACACCACACACGATGATGGCAAGGGGGACAGGGAAAGAGAGGTGAGGATGAGAAGGAGCTAGTGAGGGAAAGAGAACGAAAGGCCGGTTCAGAGGTAACGAAATGGGGAGCAGAAATGGTGGCTTTGATTGCAGGAAGAGGCAGGTGCATAGGGATGTACATGTGCCATTGTACAACCGGCCATCTATGCAGCTGGACCTTGTACACGCCTGTACACCCTTGTACACCCCTGTACACCCCTGTGCACCCCTGTGCAGTGAACACCCTGTACGCCCCACCCCCGTGCATCCCTGTACACCCCAGTACACCCCTAAGCACCCCTGCACAACCCTAAGCATCCCTGAGCACGTCTGTGCACCCAAGTGCACCACTGTGCAGCAGCCTGCTGCCATTCCTCCTCGTCTCTCCCCGTGAGTGCGGCTCACCTCGACCTGCAGCTGCAGCGAGCGCACGTAGTTAATGATCTCGTCCAGCATCACTGCCTTGCCTGTCACCTGGGGGGGGGGGGGAAGGGGGAGTGGAGAGGAGGGGAGTGGAGAGGACAGGGTAAGAAGGTGTTAAAGCGCTCCAAAGCTGCAGCGAGCGCACGTAGTTAATGATCTCGTCCAGCATCACTGCCTTGCCTGTCACCTGGGGGGGGGGGGGGGGAAGGGGGAGTGGAGAGGAGGGGAGTGGAGAGGACAGGGTAAGAAGGTGTTAAAGCGCTCCAAAGCTGCAGCGAGCGCACGTATTTAATGATCTCGTCTAGCATCACTGCCTTGCCTGTCACCTGGGGGGGGGGGAAGGGGGAGTGGAGAGGAGGGGAGTGGAGAGGACAGGGTAAGAAGGTGTTAAAGCGCTCCAAAGCTGCAGCGAGCGCACGTAGTTAATGATCTCGTCCAGCATCACTGCCTTGCCTGTCACCTGGGGGGGGGGGGGGGGAAGGGGGAGTGGAGAGGAGGGGAGTGGAGAGGACAGGGTAAGAAGGTGTTAAAGCGCTCCAAAGCTGCAGCGAGCGCACGTAGTTAATGATCTCGTCCAGCATCACTGCCTTGCCTGTCACCCGGGGGGGGGGGGGGAAGGGGGAGTGGAGAGGAGGGGAGTGGAGAGGACAGGGTAAGAAGGTGTTAAAGCGCTCCAAAGCTGCAGCGAGCGCACGTAGTTAATGATCTCGTCCAGCATCACTGCCTTGCCTGTCACTGGGGGGGGGGGGGGAAGGGGGAGTGGAGAGGAGGGGAGTGGAGAGGACAGGGTAAGAAGGTGTTAAAGCGCTCCAAAGCTGCAGCGAGCGCACGTAGTTAATGATCTCGTCCAGCATCACTGCCTTGCCCGTCACCTGCCCTCCTCAGTGGCCAGGGGGAGGGGGGGGGGGGGGAGGAGGGGAGGGCAGGAGAGCAAGGGAGTAGGGCTTAGGGATGCAGGGTAGGGAAGGAGAGAGGGGCATGCATAACAGGAAATGCCGCCGAAACAGGAGCATGCAGGTCACATGGTGCATGAGCCTTGTTTTGTTCTTTCTTTTCCTAGAAAGAGAGGATGAATATTCTACAGTTTCAAGCGACTGGCGGTTGTGGACGGTGTATCAAGGGTGATAGGACTTTTGGGTTTCTGAGGCTTGATGTTCATGAGAAGTGGGGTGATGACGGGAGAAGGAAGAGGGTGTGGTGGTGGGGTAGTAGTTGGGGGGTTGGTGGATGGAGGGCGTGGTGGGTTCACCTTGGCACAGCTGGGAACGAGCGCCTGCAGCACCTTCATGCGATCACTGATCTTCTCCCTCCGCATCTGCACGCACATACACATACACATACACATGCACACGCACATGCACACGCACATGCACATGCACATGCACATGCACATGCACATGCACACGCACACGCACATGCACATGCACACGCACATGCACATGCACATGCACACGCACATGCACATGCACATGCACACGCACATGCACATGCACATGCACATGCACATACACACACACATCCTCACACGCGC